GCTCCCACAGCTAAAGGGTGGGTGGGCCAGTGGTGACAGGCCTGCCTCACTAGGCAACTGTGAGCATTTAATGCCAGGGTGTGGGAAACTTTAGAACAGTGTCTCATGTCGTGGGTGCTCAATACACATGAGCTCTCGCTATCAAACCTTCTGCGAGTTCACCCCACTATCTAAAAATGTCCACATGTCCCCCCCATTGCATGAAGCCCCCGGTCATCTGCCCCCTTAGGATGGTCATGCGAGCTCACACCCTGGGCTGAGCAACCCCCCAAGCCTGACACTCAACCACAGAAGGGCCTCCCAGCTTCCTCAGTGGTTGCCAACTTTGTTTTCTGTTGTTTTTATGCCACATACAAGCCCCCCCACCCCCCACCATCTGCAGGACCGCCCCGAAGGAAATGTTAAGTCGTTGACGGTTTGGCCATTTTTTAAGCTAGGCTTCTGGGAGAGGAGACGTTCATACATCATCTGGAAGGGCAGTGAGTCCCAGGGTGGGGTGGGGAGGGTTTGGAGCAGCTCTCAGGATTTACAGGAATTCCTGGTGACCCCTGGGTGGCCAGAAGATTCTGCTTCCTCCATACGGGCATCCCTGGTCTCTGCCTCCACACAGAGCACACGCCATTCCCCGCCCCTGGGGGGTGCTCCCTGTCCCCTTGGTCCCCACCCACCAGAGCTTTCCAAGCCAGCTCCTGGCCTCCCCAGTGTATCTGCATGGACACACATCTCCCTGTGTTCTTCACCTTTGTGATTAGAGCTGTTTTGCTTTTGAAGGTGTCTCCTTGTGTCCGTTTTCGATGTTTAAGATGCTTCTTTTCCTTCAACCAAGTACTCCACATCCTACCATACGCTTTGTTCTGTGATGTGGGGACCAGAAAGGTGGGAGATGTCCAGGGCTCACAGTCGAGACTTTGAAACAGATCAAAGAGGCAGGCATTCGTGGGGCAGACGATGGGAAGTTACAGAGGGACAAGCAACGTGCCTGGAGCGGTGTGGGGCCAGACGCGCTCATTCCTGGAGAGGTAGCAGCTGGAGGGCTGCTCGGAAGCCCCTGGAGGCCCAGCTGGCCTCTCCTGCTCTCTCAGGCGCTCACAGAGGTGTTTCCATGGGGACCGTCTATGACGTTTTCACCCCCGGAGCCACACCTCTGTGGGGTGAGCCCCCTGGAGGGACAAAGCCAACGGAAGGGTCTGCGAGAGGGGGAGGAAGTTGGTTGAGGAGGCAGAGGCAGGGAGAAGAGAAGGGAGCCATTTAGCAGAAGAGCAAAAATACCTGCCACGCAGAATCTTGGAATGTTTCTGCTGGAGGCAGGAGAAAAATGTCAAAGCGGCTGAAAAAAGCGGCTCTCTGCTTGGGGCACCAGTGAACCGGCATTTGAGACCATAGGGTGACACCTAGTGGCCACCGTGGGAAGTGCTCCCTGCTGAGGCTGCCGGCCGCTGGTGGGTCCAGGGGTGGGTCCGCGGGGGGCGGTCCCTAGAACTCAAGACTCTAAGGAAGGGGGCGGGAGAACCTGGCCCGGGTGCTCGCCCCAGAGAGCTCACCTGGCTCTGCTCTTGGAGGACGCCTGGAAAGACCATGAGTGAGGACTCCGGCATCCAGTCCCTGCTCAGACCCCAGCTGGAAGCCCTCTGCATGTCAGCCGGCTCTTTCCTGCTGCCCCAGTGTTCTGGGACCTCCCGTCCTCCACCAGCCCCCAGCCCCGCCACACACACAGCCCTGTCCCCGCTGTCCTGCCCACCCTCCTTGTGGGACTGGAGTGGGCTTGGAGGAAGGGCAGACTCCTCAGGCATGAGCCAACGTTTAGCGCTTTCCAGTTGCCCCCAACGGAAGACTAACTCGATGGCGGGTGGAAAGCAACCACCTAAAGGAGATCAGTCCTGGGTTCATTGGAAGGACTGATGTTGAAGCTGAAACTCCAATACTATTGGCCACCTGATGCGAAGAGCTGACTCATGTGAAAAGACCCTGATGCTGGGAAAGAATGAAGGCAGGAGAAAGGGATGACAGAGGATGAGATGGTTGGATGGCATCACCAGCTCAATGGACATGGGTTTGAGTAAACTCCGGGAGTTGGTGATGGACAGCGAGACCTGGCGTGCTGCAGTCCACGGGGTTGCAAAGAGTCAGACACGACGGAGCGACTGAACTGTGGTCCCCAACAGAAGACTAACTTGATGCTGGGTGGAAAGCAACCACACAGCGCTCTGCCCACCCTGAGCGCTCCAAGAAAGATCTGTGGAGGGAAGAGCTTTGGATCTTGAGTGGGGATTCTTGCCCCAGATAAACATAAGCACTACAGATATGGGAGCTGTGCACTTCTTCTAGAAGGTGCTCCCTGTTCCTTAGTCAACTCTGACCTCTATACAATTTTGCTCCATTTATTCTTATTCAGCCTTCTGAAGCAATTTAAAATCTTTTTTTTTTTCATATGCAATGCCCGCAAACAGCTTTCATATTCCCTGTCAACTTGTCATCTGGGGCTGAAATATGCCCGACTTCCTTCATTCTTCAGAGCAGCGCTTCTCAACCGCAGACGACTTTGCCCCTCAGGCAGCGTTCTTCAGGGTCTGGAGACCTCTAGGTTGAAACACTTGGGGGCGGGAGGCTGCTACTGACCTCTAGTGGTCAGAGGCCAAGATGCTGTAACTGCTGCAAAGGAGGGGACTAAGCCCCCTTCCCCACCACACAATTATCCAGAGATGCTTTTTTTTAATATTTAATCTGAAATTCAAATTTAATTGAGCATCTAATTAAAAAAATTTTTTTGGCTGTGTGGCATGTGGGATCTTAGTGCCCTGACCGGGGATCGAACCTGTGCCCCTTGAATCAGCAGCATGGAATCTTAACCACTGGGACCACCAGGAAAGTCCTCAGCGATGTCTTAGTGCTGAGGTTGTGGAATCCTGCTTCTGAGTTCTGAGATGTCTCAACAACCTGGCCTCTTCAAGGAATACTCTTCATTTGTCATCCATGTTTCCACCACGATGGGGTACAGAACTCCAGTCGGGCTCCCACCAACCTGGGCACCCTGGGGTCTGGTCTATATGCTGGACATCTCTCAGTGGAGTCTAAAGGTTCCATCAGCCTTCTTAGCAGTCCTTGGCTCACGTGGTCACTGTGTCCTTGGTCAGTATTTCTCACAAAGAACTTACTCAGTCAAACATGCCTATGATGAAACAAATACTACAAGAAAAAGTAGTATTCTCTCCACACACAAAAATATTGGGTAAAATATGAACATTCCTATCAGGTGCATTCAACTTTCAGCGATTACTATTATCTAAATATGTCTTTTAAAACCACTCCTCTTAACAAAGAAATGGCAAAGCCCTGCAAAGCTCTCCAGAGCAGGTAGAACAAAGGCAAAAGATGCTTGTCAAGTGAAATATGAAAGGCGCTCCAAACCCCGCTAATTACATCTTGGAAGGGAAACTTTGTCCTATTGACATTCGGGATCATTTTTCACAAGCTCAGGTTACCCCCTTGAAGTTTTTTAGGAAGTTCCATGATATGGAGACATTGTTGAAAAATTGGCTGGATGGCTTCTGCTAAGCAATCAGATATAGAGATCAAATCCATTTCTGCCCACTTAGCTTTAGAGCAGTTCTGGTTATCTCAGGCAAAATGACTTTGCAACTTTAACTTTTAAGAGGTCAGATGGTTTCCCTGCTGCCTTTTCAAGTGTGGTTTTTACAAAGAATTTCTCAGGTAGCTTGGGGACTGATCTCTGATGTATGACATACCTGTATTCATAAATACCAGCATATTTAAGGAACAATAAATACTGTTTTTTATCTTTATAAACTGGAAGCAGAGGAAATAGCATTGCTTTCTTCAGACCCTTAGACCTTTCCTTCAACATAAAATTCAAAAGCAAATTGTGTGTTACTCTTGCTAGATCCTGAATTTTAAGTGTTTGACCCTTAAACTATCATGAAAACTTAATGAAATTGAGCTTGCTTGACTGTAGAATCCTAATTTATGCACATCTGTTTACACGTTTGCAGAGACACTGGTGGAGCGGATTTTTATCTGGGGTCAAGATATTAAGTAGACCTGTTTTTTTGCACTAGGCCTTCATTCCTGGGAACAGGAGTGTCTAGCAAATAAGAATATATTATAAATCACATTTTTAGTGAGAATGACAAAGCTTAGTAACCCTTGCCTTAGGGAACTGTCCAATTTGTCAGTTAAAATTCAGCCTTCTGATATAAAACGAGCCCGTTCATGTCGTGTGAGGGCTGAGTCCCTGCGGAAAGAATCTGTTGGGAGCGGTAGGGACACCGGGTGGAATGTAGGGACCCCCGCGGAAAATTTCTGTGGTCCAGCCCCCTGCCCCCCAGATGCTCACCCATCTGGGCCTTGCTCAGGCCCCAAAGGGGCACAGTTGATGAACCTCTAAAAACTTGAGGCTCCCATCCAGGGGAGTTTTTGCTCTGAAAAATGAGAACACAGGTCAGAACACAGGTCTGTAACTGATATGAACAGGACAATGGAAATACCAAGTCTAAAACAATAGCTCCCTGGATGGTAGGTGAGTTTGGGGGAGAATGGATACATGATTATGGACAGCTGAGTCCTTCCGCTGTCGCCTGAAACTACCACATTGTTAATTGGGAATACCCCAATACAAAATAAATTTTTAAAAAAGTAGCTAAAGTAAAGGTGTTTCATCGACAGGAGAGGGTGAAAACAGACCCATTTCCACCCACGGTTGGGTCTAGACTAGACAGGCCTTGCTGGGGAAGGAGGAAGGAATGGGTTTTGACTTTGAACCCTATTATTTGATGATCCTGAAGTGGCTGATGCCACAGACAGATTCAACAAAGGGCCTAGTGGTAGCCATGAATGGGGACTTTATTCTGGATGATGACCTGACTACAAATGCTTTGCTCCCTCACGTGGTCTCCACACCCAAACCCAGAGCAAGTCCAGTCCCATCAGGCCTGTGTTCCCAGCCCCGGACCAAGGCCTGGAGTGCCACCTGCAGACCACCTGCTTTAGGATCCGTCACCCACTGGGCTGGCTGAAACCTCACCTTTTCGGGCCCCATCCCAGCTTTTCTGCGTCTGGCTGTCCGTCACCTCTGAGATTTGGCCGCTTGCTAAATCAAGACCGACAGGGCAAGTGTTGGTGGCCAATCCAGTCTGCCTTTCTGTTCTTTGTCCAAGGGTGGACATCCCGCCCAGCCGTGCTTCACACTGTGGGATTCCACCCAGATTTAGGAAACAGATTAGAGTCTGTAACTGAACAAGACATGGAAATACTGAATCTAAAACTCCACCTGGGCCAAGGTCCTGCCCCATCCCTGCTACGTTCCCAAGGAGCTTCGCGCACACACCTCCTGCGGCTGAGGGCTCCCCCGGGGTCAGCCTGGGTAAACCCCACCAGCGGGGAGCACCAGGCCACGGCTGGGCCCGTACGCTCCAGCCCGAGTCGAGGCTGATGCTTGTTGGATCCGGGATCTCGGGGCCTGGTCGTCACCCGGTGCCCGGCATAGAGGTGCTGCTCCACACATCTTTATGGGATGGGTGACTGCCTCTGATTCAGGCTGTTCGGCCTCTTGGGGAGGAAGACGGCCGACTGTCCATGAGCTTTGCTGGGAGCACCAGGGAGAGGAGCAGGGGGCATTTCGGGAGTTTGGTCCTGGACCCGTCAGGCTGCGTCCTGGCTACGTAGCTTCTGGAATGACGGTTGACCTCTCTGAAACTCAGCTGCTTTATCTACAGATCTGGGAGATGGAACGCCTCTGCCTCTTCTTGGAGCTGAAAGTGCTCTGACCACGCACGGCCAGCCCTGCGGGTGGTGGGGGTGACCCCCTTGTCCTCCCACACTCCCCTTGAGCAGCGGAGCATGGCCACTGCTCTGGTGTTTGCCCCCAGCTCGTGGTTGCCCTCAAAGCCAAGTGTGGCTGCAAAGTGCCCAGCAGACCTCACAGGCTACCCGCTGTCTCCTGTCTAGGACGCCTCCAGCTGCAGGACCCCCCGACCCCCACCCTGGTGTGCCTTGGAGCTGGAGCCAGCAAGCTCATGAGGACATTTGGGCCCCACTTTCAACCGGCACCCCAAGTCCCCTTCCTCTGAGACACAGGGACTCTCCCCAAGGCCCCCTACCCTGCCGCTGAGGCCCCTGCGACCTGCCCCCACCAAGGCTGACCATTAGCATGGAACAGGCCCTCCGCAGCCCAGGTACGACCTCCTGACCGGGGGCTGCCAGGTCTGTGAGTCTGCATCACCGACTGGCCCGAATGGCCGGGCACCGCTGCCCTGCACCCCTGGGGTTCAAGGGGGGTTAGAGTGGCTTTGCTTTCACAGTCCTTAGGGTCTGACAGGAAGCTTCCTCCCCCTTTGTCAAGGCCCCCAACAATCCCACACCTCCCTGGGGTTGCTCCCTGGCTCCCTGAGCCTCTGCCAACTTTTCTTCATTCTTCAAGACCCACCTCAAAAGCCACCTCCTCCAGGAAGCCTCCCCTGATTCCCCCGCCGCACCTCGTTCCCATGAGCATGATCTGCCCTCTCCCCTCTGCTCCATCCTGGGGCTCCAGGCACCTCTGGCTCACACCTGCCCAGGGCCGTGACTTTTCCCATCTCCCTTCACAACAGTTCCTCCCGGCAAGGAGTATTAATGCGAGTGATAAACACTCGCTCTGCTCCTGGCTAATGATTCACTGTCCTCACCTAGGCTGTCCAGCCTTGGCTCCCAGAGCCCAGGAACTGCACTGGGAGCTCCCCTCCAACCTGCTGGAAGGCAAACGATTTCTTCTCCTTGGTCTAAAGGGAAGGGATGGGCGGGGGCGGCCTGAAGCACGTCCTCATTTAATGCTCCAAGGAGGCTCTGCAGGGGTCCAATACCTAGAGCAGGGCCAGGAGGTGGACTGGTGCCAACCCAGCCCAGATCCTCTGGGCTCTGGCTCCCCTCGCTGTGGCTGGCGACATGCACGGAACCTCCAGGCGACACGAACCAGTACCATTGTAGGTCAGTGATGGGACGGACCCGGTTTTGTGGAGGAGGAAATCACGGCACAGAGAGGCCGGGTCGCACAGCTCTGACGGTGCAGGAGCCCCCACACACGGCGTGCTCTCGGCGAGGGCCCCGGGCTCGCGCTCCCTGGTGGCGATGATTGCGGCATCTGCCATCCCGAGAGAACGCGGGTGCAGGAGCGAAGGGAGGGTCTTCTCTGAAGGTGGTTTGGGCAGGAGGGCCAGAGGCAAAGCCCAGCTGCATGGGTTCACCTCTCGCTCACCCCCACCGGGGCCCCCAGGCCTGGTGGGCACCCGAAGAGAAAATGCTGACTCACTCGGCGGGCAGAAATAATAGGAAATAGTGAGAAGCCAGGACACTCCCTCGTGTTGCAACCTCAGCCTCCCGGGGGTTCTGGCCTTGCCTGGCCACCAGCCCCGCGTTCCTCCTGGGTTTGCATCAAGGCACAGAGGCCATTCCGTCCCTGTAGCCGGGGCTCCTCGCCGCCTCCTGCCAGCACCCCTGCCTGTGCCACGGAGCCTGGCCACTGCAAATGTCCCCGTGAAAACGGACATAATCGTGGGGCAAACAGTGTGCCTTTGCCTCGACTCAATCTGTTTGTCAAGCCAGACAGTGCTTTGTGTTTAAGTCAAACTAGCCTTAATGCGTTTTCCATTCTCTACAAAACCCACAGCCGCCAATTAAAAGGGGAAAAAACCCCACGAAGCACACTTCTCTTGCCTCGTTTCTCATTCTCTTTGATCCATTAAAATCCGAGACCGAGTCCTCCCTCAACTCAAGAGTGAGGCCAAGAGGGAACAATTATCCATAAAGTGGCCATCCGAGTGTTTGCCTTGCGATGAAAGAAAACTTTTGAGAACTTGGGATAAAGACGGAATAAGTCTCTCCAGCCTCCATCAATAATAATATTAGTGAATTAATGATTTACTCGAGTGCTATATGTCTATTTGCTTTGCTGTTCATAAGCCTACATCGTTTCCTTAGAAACCTTGACATCAGCCCAAACTTCATCTCTCTGAGAACTAAAGGCTCCTCTCAAGGAGAGGCACACAGCTTCTTTTGCTTTTTTCAATGTTTGCGAAGGGGGAAATGATGAATTGATTTATTCTAAAGGAGCCATTTTTCTTCTTTCCTTTCCTTCCCATTACCATTGAAATCTGACATTTGAAACACCTACTGTATCAACATCTAATTCCACCACCTTCCTTCCCAACAAAGCCTTCAGTCTTAACCAAATAACATGGCTTTCACCAACGTATGCCATTTATTTAGAGACGTGTGTGTGTGCATACACACATCCACACACATACACATACATATATGCCATCCACCTCTGGCTGACAAATAAAAATGTTGGTTTATTTTCTTTGTTGGCTTTCAAAACTTTACTCATCTCATTGCTTGTATTCAGGACCATCAGGACTTAATAAGTACTCTCAGAGTCTCGGTGGATGAACACGGAAGGCTCTGGATTTGCCGAGTAAAAAGCCCGTGTATCCACACTAGCTCAAAAGGCAGCAAGTCAGATTGCCTTGCTGCAAATATACGTAAAGGAATCTGGTCAGACAGAGGGATACAGACGGCTAAGAACGGAATGAATATAGATTCAGTTTCACACCCAACTCAGTAACATTTTTTTCCACTGCTACTGAGAATACACTTAAAAGAAGAGTGTAATTTTCCTTTTGAAGAACAAGTTATACAAGAAATGGCAGAGATGGGAGGGGAAGTCTGCTTGCTGGGGAAAAACTAAAGGGAAAATTTGACGTTTTCCAACAAGCATAAACCTGGGAGGTCAAGACAGTCTCCTCTCATTTCAATGAATGCCTTTGTATTTTGTAGCTTTCTCCTGTTCTGCAGTAGCTGCCTTATCTTGGATTTGAGGAGCACAGGTTATGGTTGAGGTGAGACTCAACAATAAGGGTGACTCAAGCAGGTGGTGCTTGCCCAACCTTCAACCAAATGAGGGTGTCCTAGGGGATGACCTTGGGCGGCCTCTGCTCTAGTTGGCTGGACTGGATGCTGTAATAGCCAAGAGGCAGGGTTCATCTGGCTTGAAAGGGTTGGAAAGGCATTACCTGGACATAGGTTGAGTGAGATCTAGGCGGGTGCAGCGGTGGAGGGAGAAGACATTATTTTATGGCAAATTTCAGACTCCAAAACTACCACTTCCCTTCCTGCATTGGCAAAATCCACCAGGAGCAAACAACCAGCCAGGGCTGACCCCTTCTGCCCCACCAGCCCATCTGCTCCTCGCCTGATGGTTGCAAGTGCCAATGAGATTTCACTTCTTAACTACGCTGTGGTCAGTTAGTCTGAGTATTTAGAATGCAAACTTAGGCTGAGTGGCTCCAATCCTCATGATGCCCAGATTTAATATTGTTAGAGTCACATGGTGGAGAAATGAAAGCTAACTTTGCAATGACCCATTTTGTTGACAACCAAGTGTCCTGACTTTTTCTGAAATGAACCAGGCATTTGAAGTTTTAGTCTGGGAATGCTAGAACCTTCCGAATGGAATCCAGTTGGCCTGGGGCCCAAGCCATGAGAAATCACTAGAACTTTCCACTGTTTTTATCAAACTTGGCCCTTACTCTTCTGCTACTTGACCCTGGTTTTGAGGAAGCAAGGCCAGCTTGCTTGACTGTTCGAAGGGGAACCTGAGACTAACCTGTTTGGTCTCTGGCCAGCTCAGGTTTTCCAGTAAAAATGTGACCAACACTTTTCATAAACCATTCTCATACCAGGGCGGCCTTCCTAAAGTGAGGTGCCCAGCAAGTGAGTGGTGGGTGATCACTGGCTATGGTTACACAGAGACAGGAAAGGTTGCAATACCACCATCCACTCTTACCAAACACAACCCAGCCCTCTCCATCGGATCTGCACCCATCAGGCCTGCAGCCAAGACGCCCAGAAGCAAGGCCTTGGAAGGTTCTGGAAGCTCCTGCAAGTGACTCCTTTCTCAGCTTCTAACTAGACCTTGTGATCCTGCGAATTTTCCCCTCACTCTCTGTCATCTCTGAACTGGCTGGGTTAACTCAGCCATACTCCAAAGGGCATCAGAACCAGCTGCTTACAATCAGTCAGTCAATGGAATGCTCCTTGCTCTGCTGCTGTTCATCCGATTGGGTTACATTCACACATAAAGGGCATCATCAACATTTCTGTCCAGATACGGTGACACGGGGCATCGCTGGGGGCTCAGCGGTAAAGCACCCAACTGTGACGCAGGAGCAGCAGGAGACGCGGGTTTGATCCCTGGGTCGGGAAGATCCCCTGGAGGAGGGCATGGCAACCCCCTCCAGTGTTCTTGCCTGGAGAATCC